GAGCAGAAATAAATGAAATAGAAACAAAGAAAACAATAGCAAAGATCAATAAAACTAAAAGTGAGTTCTTTGAGAAGATAAACAAAATTGATAAACCCTTAGCCAGACTCATCAAGGAAGAAGGGAGAGTACACAAATCAATAAAATTAGAAATGTAAAAGGAGAAATCACAACTGACACCACAAAAATATAAAAGATTATAAGAGACTACTACAAACAACTATATGCCAATAAAATGGACAACCATGAAGAAATGGACAAATTCTTGGAAAGGTACATTTTTCCAAGACTGAACTGGGAAGAATTAGAAAATATAAACAGACTTATCACAAGTAATGAAATTGAAACCATAATTAAAAATCTTCCAACAAATAAATGTCCAGGACCAGAGGGCTTCACAGGTGAATTCTATCAAACATTTAGAGAAGAGCTAACACCTATCCTTCTCAAATCCAAAAAATTGCAGAGGGAGGAACACTCCCAAATGCATTCTATGAAGCCACCATCACCCTGATACCAAAACCAGAAAAAGACATCACAAACATAGAAAATTATAGACCAATATCACTGATGAACATAGATGCAAAAATAACATAAACCACAGCAAAGAGAATCCAACAACACATTGAAAGGATCATACACCATGACAACTGGGATTTATCCCAGGAATGCAAGGATTCTTCAATATATGCAATCAATGTGATATGCCATATTAACAAATTGAAGAATAAAAACCATATGATCATCTCGATAGACGCAGAAAAAGCTTTTGACAAAATTCAACACCAATTTATGAAAAACACTCTCCAGAAAATGGGCATAGAGGGAACCTACCTCAACACAATAAAGACCGTATATGACAAACCCACAGCAAACATCATACTCAATGGTGAAAAACTGAAAGCATTTCCACTAAGATCAGGAACAAGACAAGAATGTCCACTCTCACCATTCTTATTCAACATAGTTTTGGAAGTCACAGCCACAGCAATCAGAGAAGAAAAAGAGATAAAAGGAAGCCAAATTGGCAAAGAAGAAATAAAACTGTTACTGTTTGCAGATGACATGATACTATATATAGAAAATCCTAAAGATGCCACCAGAAAACTACTAGAGCTAATCAATGAATTTGGTATTGTTGCAAGATACAAAATGAATGCACAGAAATCTCTGGCATTCCTATACACTAACAATGAAAAATCAGAAAGAGAAATTAAGGAAACACTCCCCATTACCATTGAAAAGAAAAGAATAAAATACCTAGGAATAAACCTCCCTAAGGAGGTGAAAGACTTGTACTCAGAAAACTATAAAACACTGATGAAAGAAATCAAAGATGACATAAACAGATGGAGAAATATACCAAGTTCTTGGATTGGAAGAATCAATATTGTGAAAATGACTATACTACCCAAAGCAATCTACAGATTCAATGCAATCCCTATCAAATTACCAATGGCATTTTTCACATAATTGGAACAAATAATTTTACAATTCATATGGAAACATAAAAGACCCCAAATAGCTAAAGCAATCTCGAGAAAGAAAAATGAAGCTGGAGGAATCAGGCTCCCTCACTTCCAACTACACTACAAAGCTACAGTAATCAAGACAGTATGGTACTGGCACAAAAACAAAAAGAGAAATATAGATCAATGGTACAGGATAGAAAGCTCAGAGATAAACCCACACACATATAGTAACATAATTTACAACAAAGGAGGCAAGAACATAAAATGGAGAAAAGACAGCCTCTTCAATAAGTGGTTCTGGGAAAACTGGACAGCTACCTGTAAAAGATTGAAATTAGAACACTACCTAACACCATACACAAAAATAAACTCCAAATGAATTAAAGACCTCAGTGTAAGACAAGACGCTATAAAACTCTTAGAGGAAAACATAGGGAAAACACTCTTTGACATAAACCACAGCAAAATCTTTTTTGACCCACCCTCTAGAGTAATGAAAATAAAAACAAAAATAAACGAATGGGACCTAATTAAACTTAAACTCTTGCACAGCAAAGGAAACCATAAACAAGACGAAAAGACAACCCTCAATTCTCACTATGGAGAACAGTATGGAGGTTCCTTAAAAAACTAAAAACAGAACCACTATATGACCCAGCAATCTCACTGCTGGGCATATACCCTGAGAAAACCATAATTCAAAAAGAGTCATGTACCACAATGTTCATTGCAGCACTATTTACAATAGCCAGGACATGGAAGCAACCTAAATGTCCATCGACAGATGGATAAAGAAGATGTGGTACATATATACAATGGAATATTACTCAGCCGTAAAAAGAAATGAAATTGAGTTATTTGTAGTGAGGTGGATGGACTTAGAGTCTGTCATACAGAGTGAAGTAAGTCAGAAAGAGAAAAACAAATACCGTATGCTAACGTATATATATGGAATCTAAAAAAACAAAATGGTACTGATGAACATAGTGACAGGGCAGGAATAAAGACACAGACATAGAGGAGGGACTTGAGGACACTGCGGGGAGGGGGAAGCTGGGGTGAAGCAAAAGTAGCATCAACATATATACACTACCAAAAGTAAAATAGATAGTGAGTGGGAAGCAGCAGCATAGCACAGGGACATCAGCTCAGTGCTTTGCAATGACTTAGAGGGGTTGGATAGGGATGGTGGGAGGGAGGCTCAAGAGGGAGGGGATATGGGGATATATGTATGCATATGGCTGATTCACTTTGTTGTACAACAGAACCTAACACAGTATTGTGAAGCAATTATATTCCAATAAAGATGTATTTAAAAAAAAAGAAAATGTGGTATATACATACAATGGAATATTGTTCAGCCTTAAAAAATAAGGAAATCCCGCAATATGCTACAACATGGATGTGCCTTGAGGACATTATGCTAAGTGAAATAGACCAGTCACAAAAGGACAAATACTGCATGATTTCACTTATATGAGATATCCAAAATAGTCATACTCACAGAAGCAAGAAATAGAATGATGCTTGCCAGGGGCTGGGGAGAGGGGCAAATGGGTAGTTGCTAATTGACTTGTATAAAATTTCAGTTGTGCAAGATGGATGAATTCTAGAGATCTGCATTACCACAATGTGCCTATAGATAACAATAAATGTATTGTACTCTTAAAAATCTGTTAAGAGGGTAGATCTCATGTTAAGTGTTCTTACCACAATAAATACAAAAAAGAAAGAAAAAAACCCAGATTAATGGATACAAAGATGTGAGATATACATGTACACACACACACACACACACACACAATGGAATGCTACTCAGCTGTAAAAAAAGAATGAAATTTTGCCATTTGCAGCAACGTGGATGGACCTGGAGGGTATTATGCTTAATGAAATAAGTCAGACAGAGAAAGACAAATGTTATGTTATCACCTAATGTGGCATTTTAGAAATAAAAAAGCAAATGAATATAACAAGAAAGAAGCAGACTCACAGATACAGAGAACAAATTACTGGTTACCAGGGGGAAAGGGAAGGTGGGAGGCCAAAATAGGGGTAGGGGATTAAGAGGTACAAATTATTATATACAAAACAAATATCTACAAAAATAGATTGTACAGCACAGGGAATATAGCCAATATTTTATAATAACTTTAAATGGAGTATAATCTCTAAAAATTTTGAATCTGCATTGTACACCTGATACTAATATAATATTGTAAATCAACTATAACTCAATGAAAAAATATATGAATGAAAAAATGAAAAAAGGAGATAGCATTTCAAGTCAAGGGTTTTTATTATGACAATAAGATTTGAGTTCTTCAGATAAATTATGCCTATTTCTTGTCAAAGCTGTTTCTTTATTACTCTTAATGGTTGGATCCTCTTATAATCTCATTTTCTAATATGTTGTTTCTGCTATGTTTTTAACATTCATCAAGACATGCACTCATTTTTAAGTACTGTAGCTTAAACCTTAGGTTTCTAAAATATACAGCCATATTAAAATAATAATAATTTTTTCTGCCCCCTTCCCCTAGTCTTGCCTCATTTTTTTTTTTTTTTTTCTTGCGTTATGCGGGCCTCTCACTGTCGTGGCCTCTCCCATTTGCGGAGCACAGGCTCCGGACGCGCAGGCTCAGCGGCCATGGCTCACGGGCCCAGCCGCTCCGCGGCACGTGGGATCCTCCCGAAACGTGGCACGAACCCGCGTCTCCTGCATCGGCAGGCGGACTCCCAAGCACTGCGCCACCAGGGAAGCCCTCTTGCCTCATTTTTGCTTCACATCCTGCTTGCTGCATACTCCAGAACTTATGTTCAAAGATGCTTAGAGAAGGCAGATATTTTGGCCTTGATTTGATTTCATTGGGAATGCCTCCAACATTTCACCATTAGGAATGATGTTGACTCTTGTGTTCATATAGAAAATTTTATCATTGTGGATGCAGCCTCCTATTTTTAGGTATTTTTAAAAAGTCAGAGTTCATGTTTACTTCTACCAAATGCCTTTCCAGTCTCCATGGAGGCTATCAGATGCTTTCATTCCCTTATTTAGGCTATTGATATGGTACATTATTGCTGATCAAAGCACCTTCATGTACATGGAATAGACACTTACTTTAGATTTTCCAAAATGCCCTTGTAAATACTCTTCATTTGAGTCACAAGAAGTCTGGAATGGAGTGCTTGTCTCCTGACGAGGTGGGTGGGAAAGGACTAGAAGGGCAGAAGGGACTGTGTGGGTGCTGGGAATGTTCTGTGTCTTGATTGGGTGATGGCTACTCAGCTGTATACAGTTGTCAAAACTGGAGCAGATACTTAAGAAGTGAGCATTACTGCAGGGAACATGTCCCTCCATGAGTACATGAGCCTGTGAACTGCTCAGGGTGAGAGGTTCCTCTCCATCTCCATAGAGACTTGGGAGGGAAGGTGGCTGCCCGTGTCACACAGCGGGCTGGTTGCCAGGCTCAGTTCTGGAACCCAGGACCCCTGATTAAGACCAAGGCTGTTCTCCACTGTGTTTTACAGGAACCAGCAGAAGCTGAAGCGTCTCACACGAGAAGAAGGCTGCTGGTCCCAGCAAACGGTGCAGACCCCACTGAAAGTGAGTGCTTTCCCCGGGCGCTGGAGCAGGAGTGGAGGGCAGAGGGACAGTGTCCTAACTGCCGTCCCCATAGCTGTCAGGGCAACTCAGAGCAGGGATGGCTTGTCACTGGACCTTCGGGACTCTACTTCCCTCTCTGCCCCCTCTTCTTCTTCCCACTCTGCACCCCTCTGTCCCCTAACAGTGTCCCCAACACCTCCCTGTCCTTCCCTCCCCCCATCCTCCCTCCTCCCCTGTTGCTCAGGGCCAGGTTGGCCCACCCTGAGGCATCTGAGGGGCTGTGCCGTCCAGCAGGGCACCCAGGGGCCGCAGGAGGCTGTGGAGCACCTGACCTGTGGCCAAATCTGATGAGCTGTAGTGTAACTCGATACTGTATTGCAAAGAATTGGTAGGAAAAAGGACTGTAATATGTCTCATTAACAGTTTGTTGTATATTGATTACATGTTGAAATGAAAAATTTTAGAATATATTTAGTACCCTATTTTATGAAAATTAGTTATTACTTGTTACTTTTTACGTTTTTTAGTGTAGCTTTTAGAAAATATAAATTTGTATTTGGGGCCCACCTTATGTACCTATGGACGGTGCTGTGCACTGCATTTCACACACATCTCATTGAATCCCCAGTACAGTCCCGTGAGGTGGGTGGTGTTTGCTCCATTTTATGGGTTAAATTCTTGCTCCGAGTCTGTCCCCATCTAGCTCTGCGACAGTGCCAGTCAGTGAGGCCGAACTGGGCGTGAGGCCAGAGGCCCTCCTCCCTCCAGGCCCTTGCTCTGTCCCCATTGCAGAGGTGGCAGCCGGGGGACCTCACTCTCGTGAGAACGGCAGGTGCCCTCCTCTGAGGTCTGTTGCACCACTGTGTCCCGCCTTCTGTCTCCTACCACAGACTGCCTTCTCTCTCCATGACGTCCATCTCCCCTCCCTGGTGGGCCCTCATTCCCCGCTTAGGGCAGGACTCTCTGGAGACCTGGACTCCCTGCAGTGCTTTGGGCACAGGTGAGGCCCATGCAGTGTGGCCTGATTCTCTGCTGATGGGAAGCAGGTCAGGGACGCAGAGCAGCAGGTTCACCAGCAGGGGACGCTCCTCAGGTCTCACCCTGGGGTCTAGGCCTGACTGAGGGTCCTCTGCCCTTTCTGAAGCCTGTCCCAACTCTGTCTCTGTGACTTTCCCTCAACCTAGGTCTGAGACTATTCTTCGATTACTTTGCAACCGCCGTGTCCCCTAACTCCTGGGACTCACTCATGAGGCAGTTGGGCCTCACGCGAAATGAGATCCTTCTGGCCAGAGAAGGGGTCCGGGTCCCTCGGGATGCCTTGTATGAAATGCTAGAGACCTGGGTCAGCAACAAGGGACGGGAGGCCTCAGTCAACACCCTGCTGGATGCCTTGGAAACGCTGGGGGAAAGACTGGCAAAGGAGACAATTCGGGACCACCTGTTGGGCTCGGGAAAGTATGTCTATGAAGATGGTGAAGCAGGCTCTGCTGTGTCCTGAGTCTAAAAGAATCTATGAAACTACAGCTTCCCTACTTTACCTTTTCTTCTGGAAAGGGACACATGATTGGACACCAGCCTGGATGAAACAGCCGGTACTTGACGAATACTTGAAGGAACACTATCATCCGATATATGCAGAAGTTGTAGAGTTCTAGAACTTTTCAGTAAAACGAGTAATTTTTATGAAATGTCATTGATAAATGATGGTGGAAATATTTATAAATATTTATGCTCGTGTATGTACTGAGAGTTGATTTAGGATGTCATTTAGTTCAGAGCACTCTGTCATCCTACCAGAACTGCACGTTTTACTTGTATTTTTTATATTGTGAGATCCACCCATGTTATGTGTGTACTTAATTATGTCTAATGATGATTTCATATTTTATGATAAGCATCTTTCCATTTTAATATTTTTGTATAGATTTATATGAATGTGGGAAACCTTCTGGAAAGGTTACTTACTAGGCTGACTACGTGGGTTCCCTGGATGGGAGTAGGCAACCATAAAATCAGTAAAAATACAGAGCAGGGAGGAGGACGAAGCCCACTGCAGTGGGAGGCACTGGTGGGATCAATTCTCCCTCATATGGGAGTTTGACTTTGTCTAGGATTAGATGACCAGCAACTTTTAAAGTGTCCATCATTTCCAACTAACAATTTTATAGGTGTGGGATTATTTATATTATTTATTGGTAGATGTTTACAAATGAGGAGAGAGTGAGGAGAAGTGGCATCCACATGCAGCCCTGTGTCTGGTATCCATGAACTGGGCTGTCATGCATGGGCCTCCTCCTGTTCATCTATGGACCTGAGTGGGAAGGGTTGGACATGGGTGGGACACGTGAGTGTCAAATAGCTTCTATGTCATGTGCCACGTCTGGTTTTGTTAGTGAACCTTCAGTTCTATCTGGGATCCAGGGAGAGAGGACAGGGATCTGCTCCTAGTGTCTGCCATGGTCTCTGGGAGGAAGAATGGACAGTGCTCATGGATTGTGTTCAATGTTGGCTGACTCAGCACTAGATGAGCCCTCTCACTTACGGTGGTCTGTGAATCTGAGTCCCAGAACAGCCTTTTTAGGGTACAGATTCCAAATATGAGGAGCTTAGTGCCTCTGTAAGCATCCCACTTCTGCATGAAAGGGAACACATAAATACAAATTCTTTTTTTCTGTTTACCATTAGAATGTATACTTTATTTTTTTTTAATTTTCCATTTTTAAAAACTGAACTATAGTTGGTTTACAACTAAGCCTTCACGCCACAACTAATAAGCTCGTGTGCCTCAACAAGAGAGCCCACGTGCCACAACTACAGAGCCCACACACTCTGGATCCCCACACACTGCAACTAGAGAGAGAAAACCCGCACGCGACCACTAGAGAGAAGCCTGAGATCCACAACTAGAGAGAAACTGGAGCAGACTATGCACCGTAATGAAAGATCCCACATGCCTCAACAAAGGTCCCTTGTGGTGCAAGTAAGACACGACACAGCCAAAAAAAATAAAGAAAATACATAAATAAAATAAATAAATATTAAACTCTCATCCACTGCTGGAATGAGTGGAAAGTGTGCAACCTCTTTGGAGATGTCTGGAAATATCTGCCAAAGCTGAATATACACATACCTTTTAATCCAACAATTCTACTCGAGGGCTTCTGTGAAATAGAAGATAAAACATTTGGAAGTGAAATGAAATGAAAAACTGGGAAACCTCTAAAATGCCCATCAAGAGTAGAACTGGGGCTTCCCTGGTGGCGCAGTGCTTGAGAGTCCGCCTGCCGATGCAGGAGACGCGGGTTCATGCCCCGTTTCGGGAAGATCCCACATGCCGCGGAGCGGCTGGGCCCGTGAGCCGTGGCCGCTGAGCCTGCGCGTCCGGAGCCTGTGCCCCGCAAATGGGAGAGGCCACAACAGTGAGAGGCCCGCATAACGCAAGGAAAAAAAAAAAAAAAAGAGTAGAACTGATCATAGAATTCAATTCACACAATAGAGTCCTCTAGAGCAAGGAGACTGAACAAACTGTAACTACATGTAACAGTATTGATGAATCTCACAAATACAATGTTAAGACATGAAAGATTGACAACTGGAAATGATTTCTGCTTATGGAACATGCAGAATCTAAGGTGTCAAAAGTGAAGGTGGTGGTTTCTGTTGGGTGTTGGTGATAGGAAGGAGGTGTGAGTGGGGCCTTTGGGGTATTGGTCACGTGTTGCGTCACTATGTGAAAATTCACCCAACTTATGAAAAGAGCACGAATATATTCTTTTGTATGTATGTTATACTTCAATAAAAACTTTAAAGTGTGCCTCATAAAAAGATGCTGTTTGAGGGTGCTGCCAGTAGATGCCCTTATGTGCAAGGGGCTTAGGAAGGGGCTATCCTGGGGGACTCTGCTAAGGAATGGAGGCCAGGAAGACATGTAGAGGGAGGAAATGGGAAGTCCCAGGGGTCTCCACAAAGACAGTAGAGGCAACACAGCCCTTCCCCCAGAGAAACTGAGGCCCTGACAACAGGCAAGGGAAGAATGAAAATGGCCTTACTTGGCAGATGGCCTTCCCTCTCGAGAAGTCCCCAGCACACAGCATGTCCTCGTGCAACAGAGAAGCTCTTGCCTTTTCTAGGTCCGTATAATATATTACAGAAGTTGTAATTCATCTACTCACCCCTGCATCCATTTGCCCATGCACCCATCTTTTGATCCGTCTCCACTCACTCCATCTATCTCTGCCTACCATCCTTTCACCCACCCACCCATCTTCCCTTCCAGCCACTCATCCTCCCACCTACCCTTCGCCCATCCATCCTCTCATCTAACCACACATTTATTCCTCTGTCCTTGTGTTCAGTATCTTTTAGACACTAATGATACATGAGAACATTTTTACTTGGGGGAGCCAGTGACACCAAGCAGGGCCCTGTGGGGCTCCTGGGCACAAAGCCCTTCTGTGTCCCCCATTTCTTTGATCACAGGAAATAGACTTCATTCAGCCTCCACGACCTTCTCTGAGTTCCACTGGGCAGATTCAAGCAGTTGTTAATTAGGGAAGGGAGGGGATGCGAGACCAGTGAGAAACAGTCAAGAGAAACAACAGTGCAGCCTTGGGGCAAGGTCCTGGCTCCCCATGAACGGATACACAAAACAATATCTTTGAGTTGTTTTCTGACACTGAAACCCCCTCCAGGTGGGAGAAGTTAATGATTAACAATGGTAGGCTGCCCACAAGCATGTAGACCCCAGACCAGTTGGAACCTGAAGGTCGATGATGCTGACTCCTACTTACCTCACAACCACCTCATCAGAAGAATGTCTAAGGGCTGATCATGCATCTTTGAACCATTACTTTAAAACTTCTCACTATCCTCTCCAAGGAGACACACAGTTTTTCGAGGCAGGAGCCCTGTGTCCCCCTTTTCCTGGCAAAGTAAGAAAGCTCTCCTTTTCTACTTCACCCAAAACTCTGTCTCCAAGATTTGATTCAGCACCTGTGCACAGAGGAGCTGAGCTTTTGGCATCAACAGGGTAAATGAAGTAAATAAGACAAATTGTTTTAGATCTAAGAAGTGGTGTAAAGGAAGCAAAACAGGGAGATGTGCTATTAGGGGTGGCCTGTTGTAGCTCATATGATCAAGTAAAACTCCTCAGAGGAGCAGCTGAGTTGTACATGTAAAGAAATGAGTCGTGCCAAGGTTAGCAGGGAGAGCAAGTGAGGACAGGGAGGCAGCCAAGGTGGAGGCCCTGAGGTGGGGATGGCCTTGGCATATTCAAGCAGGAAGGAGGCCTGCTGGCTGGGATGGTGTGGGTGAGGGATGTAGTAGGAGATGAGCAGAGAGGAATGGAGGCCAACATTACACAGGGCCTGAGAGCCAAGGTAGGGAGTTTTGACTTTTTTCTAGGCATAAATGAGAAGGCACTGAGGGTAATGAGCAGGGAACTGGCATGACTCCTGCTTTAAAGCAAACACTCAGACAGCTATGTGGAGACTAAAGTATAGCACACAGGGTGGGATCTCGGAGACCAGTCTGGAGGTCCAGGCAAGAAATGATGGTCTATAGGACCAGGGTGGCAGCACTGGGGTACCTCCTAGGTGCCAGGCCCTGCCTGGGGCAGAAGCTGGGATATTAAAACAAGAAATACAGGGTTCCTGTCCTCAGGGAGGAACAGTCTCTGTGTGTGTGTGTGTGTGTGTGTGTGTGTGTGTGTGTGTGTGTGTGAAATGTGGTGTATGTGTGGTATGTATGTGTTGTGTATGTGGTGTGAGAATGCTGGGAACGTGGTTGTTTGTCCTATGATTAGGGAGTGTTCATGACATACTAGTAGGCAAGGGCCAGGGACGGTGGCACATCCCACCCAATGAAGACAGGGTCTGTTCCAAATGCCTGTAGCACCTCTGTTGAGAAAAACGGTACCAAATTATGACTCTACAAATAATTAACATATATATTCTTTTTCCTCCTAATATGGAACCATAAGCATATCCTCAAACCATAAACACTCCTTTCCTTAATAAAGACTCTGGCTCATAAGTCTTTGCCTACATTTCTCCTCTTTCAATCTTAAAAAACATAATTTTTTTCCTGTGTTACTCAGTTCACCTAATAAGCTTACAAAGTAGATAGCTGAGCTGGGTTGGGAGAAGAGGAAAGTGAGGTTCAGAGAGTGAAACACTCTTAAGTCATTCATTCTAACTTCATCAGGCAGGCTCAGAGGAGAGAAGGCGTATGTGTGTTTTCCTTCCACTTTCCCCAAGCTCCTCTTATAGCAATGGGAAATCAGCGTATTTGTCAGTGGCCTGCAATGGGCCAGGGCCCAAGCATGACCTTTGAGTTGAAGCAAGTCCTCTCAGATCCATGGCTGATTAAAACCTTGGAATCCAGAAACAGAAAGACTTCAAGAACCCAGAGTCTTGATTCCAAAAGTCAAAGATTCCGACACTTTCAGTGCAAAGATTCGCACTTAGGGAACACTGAAGCTTTATTTATTTATTTTTA